CACTCCGTTATTAGATGGGCAAAATCCTGGTCCAGTGCCAAGAAAGATTAGGTCAACAAGAAAGGCAACACAGAGCAATCAGAAAGTTCTTTGACATACTTGTGTTTCCTTTGGAAACTGATGGGGATACCCTTCTCCACTGCTGAGATTCTCTACTGGGCTGTTGTGGGCTGTTGCCTCCAGGCACAGAAGGGGGCTGGACTGCCTACTATCCTGGCAAAGATACCTGCAAAGCCCAGAATGGAGTTACCTTTAAAAATTCTTTGAAGTCTGTGTCTTCATCTGTCTTCTGCTGTAACAGAGCTGCTCCATTAAGCTGACAGCTACAGAAACGGATGTACGCCTGCATGTGGGACAGCTCGGCTGCTAGGATATCCCCAATCATCTGCACAGGCATCTTCTCACCCCCGGTCTTCTTCCGTACCCGTAAGGCCCTGCAAACAACACACTCTCACTTTCTATTTCTAAGTAAATATCCTTGGTAACTGAAGGATACGGGAGACCCATGGTAATGATAACCAGTGAGTTATGTAAGAATCTCTGGCACTGGCAGGGACAAGTCAGGAGGAAGAGGAGGCAGCTTGGGCCAAAGGGTCTGCCGGCCAAGCCAACCTGGGGGAAATGTTAGCAAAGAAGAAAAAGAAAATGAAGTTTATGCACCTGGGTGTTTCTAGGTCTTTAGAATTGTTTTGGTTTCACCTTAGTTTCTTGCAAAGTTTCTTTTGAAAAATTCTAACTTGTTCTTAGTTGCACCAAGAGGAAGGAGATTTCTAGCGTGTGAAGGAACAAAGGGCACAGCACTACACAGGCCAGGTGTGGAGGTGGAGGGGCACTGTCTCCGAGCAGAGCTGCTGGGCCACGAGGTGGGCAGAGATGCAGCAAGAGCCAGGCCTGCTGATCTTCCCCGGGAGTCATCCTCACAGGCATGAAGGATGGAAGATCTCTCCAAGGAAAGGAACTTCACACAGAAACTCAAAGGCTGCTAAACGATGCAGTTATGTTTGGGTCATGAACTGCACCTCCTCTTCTGCCTCTAACTACCCTACTGCCAGAGTCAATGATATCTTATATTTTGGAATCATACATTAACATATTGTTTAATGATTTAATGTTTTTTTCATTTAATCAAAGTATCTTCTTTGTTATATGTATTTACTGTCTTCAATAATTATGTATTTTACAGTTACAGAGCATTTCATAAAATGATGATAAAATAAAAAGGCTCAGGGAGGAGAAAACAGTTGGAAGTTCCTTTGTTAAGTAGCCCCTACACAGGGCTAGAGTGACACAGTCTCAATTCGGGAGCCTGGGGGAGGTCAGCTTTGATGACAGGGGATGCTCACGACTCACTTCAGCAGCTTTGTGTTCGACATGATGAGCTCTTTCCAGTTAACGAAGATCATGGCCATTTCTCCTTCGGTGAGAAAGCCCGACTCTGCCATCCTTTTCTGAAAAACCTAAACTCAGTACATAGAAGAAATAAGTTAGCTTAAGGGTGGACATACAGCCTATGTGTGGTCTAGATCAAACAATGTCTTCATACACTGAAACTAATAAGATCACGGTGTTTCTAAATAAGAGTAGGTATGACTGTTAAATTTTTAATTGCATAATTTCCCTACTCTTTGCTATTCGGGATCCTATC